CATTCGGTAATTTTATATAAACAGAAGCATTGAAATTCTATAGTTAAACTTTACCGGTTCTGTCATAAGTTAAAGGTTATTGCCTGCATAAACAAAACCTAATCTTCCCAGTTTCCAATGTACAGATCACGGCCGNGACGTCATGACACTTTAGTTCTTGGTATAAGGCCATGGTGGCACTCTTTACACATGTTGACTTCAACTTTTTTTTGCCACTAGCAGTCCAGGTTTATATAGTCAAAGGTTGAGTAGCGGTGACTGAGCAGAGTGCGTTCAGCAGACACTCACCCAACAGTTGTACAACAGTTGTATCTGCTGAACGCGACCAGTGGCACGGCCGCTCTCAGGGTACGATCCCATGCACTGTTATTTTTCGCGTAACGCGTAATGCGTAATCAATCAGAGAAATTACGTGTACTAACATAAAGCACGTAATATCTCTGATTGGTTACGCGTTACGCGTTACGCGAAAAATAACAGTGCATGGGATCGTACCCTTATTTTTCGCGTAACGCGGAACGCGTAACCAATCAAAGAGATTACGTGTTTTATGTTAGTACACGTAATTTCCCTGAATGGTTACGCGTTACGCGTTACGCAAAAAATAACAGTGCATGAGATCGCACCCTCAGCAGTGTTCACAGTTTTGGCAAGCTTACAGCATGCTGAAGCGGCGGAAGGGATGCGCACAACAGCAGCGATTCTACCTGCATGAACTCGCTGCTGTTGTGCGCACCCTCAGTCTTCTTTCTGGTGGGCGAGGCCTAATTAAAGCCACAGTAAAACCAACCCACTGGGCAGAAATGCAGATCTCCGGCCAGTTAGCAGCGAGAACACCGGGGTAGTGGGAGGTGCATCATGGAGGTTTTCGAATGAGAGAATGCTTCCACCATCTCGGACTGAGTTTGCAACACTGCTTCTGGGATAGAACTTTTCTAGTGTCGACGTGCGAATTTGCCGATCGCTTGAGGTCACGCCAAATCAGTGAAAAGACGCTCGAGGATTGGTCGAGCGAGAGAAGTAGGATTGCAAATTGAACTTGCGCGTGCTTGCTCGAACGAAGCTGCGCAAACGTTATGTAAAAATCAAGAGGCTAAGTGCTAACATAGCTGACATTGCTGACTAGAGCGAGGAAGAGAGCGGAGCACGCAGTAAGACTGTTGACGAGTGTTGTGTGGATATGGTCAAGCACAGGTCTAGTTTCTGATTGCGGTGACTGTGATTTGTTACGTGCGACGTAAGAGACAAAAGGAGAGTCAAATACGAGCGAGAAGAGGATACGTGAAAATCCGAGCAACAAAGGAAGGAGACAGATAGAGAGCGAGAGAGAGAGAGAGGGGGGGAGAACGGAGGACAAAGAAACAAGCACCGAGTGAAAACGTATCGAAGAGAGAGAGAGAGAGCTCGTAAGAAAGTGCGTACATCTACAATTTGGTTCAACGAGATCCGAAATTCGCGAGTTTGGGTCGAGTTCGAGCGAACGGGGAACAATTTCCGCAACGCGGAAGAGTGCGTCGCGAAGTGACAAACAAACAAACAACTCGTGTTCGCCATCTTGCGGCAGGGGGTAAGTTAACGTCGTGCCGTGGCGTCTGTACGAAATGCGCGTCGTTCTCTTTACTGGAGAGTAGATTGCCGGAGAAAGAGAAGAAAACAGCAGCAGCATAATAAGAAGAAAAGTGGCCGACGGTCACCGGATGTGGTTAAATTTGCGAGATATGCCTACTGGAAGGGCCGCGAGAGAAAAGGAGCTCGAAACGAGGTAGCATAGAGCTAACAGGTTCCCCGGAGTTTCCCACCGCAAACTTTATTTCTTCTTCATCCACCCCGCGACTCTCCTCTGGCGCGTCACTATCGCCGTCCCCACCGCCTGTCTGTCCTGGATACTACAGTGCGATTATTGCGCAGTTGGAAAAATTGCTGCGCGCGGATGCCGTGATACGTGGAGTATCATCTCTGAGAGACAATCCACGAGCATTTACCGGTAAGCAAAACGGGAATTTACGTCTCGAAAAGACGCGTCGCGTATCTTTGTATATAAAAATTTTTTTTCTTCAAATTTCACAGAGCTTATTCTGTCATTTTATGATTTTATACTTGTTTTCACGTGTTTTAGCATAATGAGACAAAAAACAGAAAATAAAGTTTGTGTAAAGTAGAAAAATATTAAGTGGCTCTCTTTGGCATCAAATTTGCATTTAAAAGAATATTTTTTTTTTCTTTTAGACACTTTCTTAGTAACAAAGTTGTTTTGATATTCATACAACTTTTGCTTATTTTCATAACAAGTATGTATGAGCAAAAATTTCAAGCACAAATAACATATCTTATATAATATTTATATCTTAATTTTTTAAAAAGGTCTGAATTCAACTCTTTTAAAAATGTTTATTTTGTGTTTGAGTTTTTATCTCTTAAATGTGTGTGCATTCATATCAATGTTTTTTTGTGTGAGATTTATTTTTTTTCCTTTGGGGATAAGATATCATTTGACAATGTTTTGTGAGAAAACAAATTAGCTTATCACATGGTATTAGTATATATACAATGAATACTGCAATATGTGTACATCTTATGCTCAAATATTTATATAAGAAATTATTGTATTAAAACTATATTTATATGAGAAATTATTGGATTAATCAAATATTTATATGAGAAATTATTGCATTAATCAAATATTTATATGAGAAATTATTGCATTAAAACTATATTTGTATAATGAGAAATTGTTGCATTAAAACAAAGAATCTTAATTTTTAAAATTATATTCTTTTGTGCAAATTACATATATGTATGTATGAAGCAACATGTAAAGAGCTATTGATAAATGAGTAATTAGACTTTAATTAAAATTCAGTACACTTATATTTTTTATACAATTTGAATTAATTCAACTCAAGTTAAATTTAATGTTTTTATTATACTATATTAATTTTTATTTTTTTATACACTATATTGAAACAGACAAATAAATTCTGATCTCCATGTTTTAAATTGTAATCAATACATATATTTACACTTTTTTTCAAAACAAAGAAAATAATACTTCGACAATATTTAAACAAAATCAACTAAATCATTGTAGAGAAGAGTAAAAAAAAAGAAATATTTTTTACAAGTGTCTTGGTGTTACAGGCCGACGTGTTATAGTCGGTTTTTGTGACGAGAGTGACTGAGGAATTGTACAAAATCGAAAGTGAGAGCCATGACAAACTCCGCGCCCAAGCTAGACAACGCCAAGGTGGATCGGCAAGCTTCGCCGAAGGTTGGCTTTCAGCATCAACAAAGTTCTCATCATCGTCGCTCCGCCAGTAAATCGTCGCCGTTCCTCTACAAGAACGGCAGCCACGGGGCCAAGAACATCAAAGACGGCCGGCAGAGCTGCAGCCCGTACAGCCCATCGTCCAAGAGCGCGAGAAACTCGCCGCAACAACGCAGTCCGAGTAGTAGCCCGACCAACAACAGCTTTTACGCGGGCGCGAAATTCTCGGAGACACCGTCGCCCGCGAGCGTGCCGAAGCCGCCGAGTCACTGGACGACGTGCTCGGCAGCAAGACTGATGGGCAGCTGCGGCCAGTCGGCGAACAGCGCGTCCGAAACCACCAGACAACTACGCATAATGCTGAATGTCGAGGCCTGATACTCGACGGCAAGTGACATTGTCAAACGATTAGAGAGATGGCCGTCAGTAGTTTGCGGAGAATCAGGTATGATGGGAAAAAATTATCGTCGTTAGAGAATCACAGAGGCGAGATAGAGAAAGATAGCAACAGAGACTATGACGTTGATAATAATAATTACAAAATAATAATAATAATAATAATGATGGTGATATCGTGTGCGGGCCGTATACACACGGAGCGATTTTCGATTTTATTGAGCGAATGGACATTACAAATCCGTTATTTACTCTAAGATTACATCCAGCATACAAAGAACTTTAAAAAACCGTAGACTAACACATCGCGGTGGGTGACAACGCGATGCATCGGTGCGTTTATCATGTTCGCGATCGATATGTGTGCACGCAAGATGCATACGTATGATACATATATATGTATGTATATATTGCGTTTTCGGACTCTCTCTCTATCACGCGTCACATCACTGTGTGACAGAAAAGAAACAAAAATGTAAGTAATATCGTATTTTAGATTACCGTTATAAAAAAAAAAAAAAACAAAAAATTCGACTTACAACAACAACACCTGAAGAGGGAGCTCCACATGCATACATATATATTATCTATATAAAACGTTCAAAAAACAAAAAAAACACAACACATCGTCGGTCTGACGAGACGACAAGCATGAACAGACAAAGCTGAGCTTCGTCCTACGATGCGCTTCAATGTCGACACGTCGTTGGCGTGTTTCAATAATCTCTTATTTCGGCTTTCTTTCCGAAGTAACTTTGAGAGGCCGCTTTTGAGATCAATCGCGAGTCTTTTTTTTTTTTTTTTTTTTTACCTTCTCGAGCTTTAATTGTGCCAGATGCGTCGCGGCGCAGTTCGCTCCATTAGATGCTGGAACAAATAACTATATAACGTATTATATATATATATATATAACAAATTAATAATCATTTATCAATTTACTTCTTTATTAACAGTTTTTCTTTTTTTTTTCGCGGACTTTATCATTTTGTTATATTGTGGCTTGAAAGAGACACAGCTTCGTACACACGGGAGAGATTTACTTCACGTAGTGAACCCTTTTTAGTTTTTTTGTTTATTTTTCTTTTTCATTTTTTTTTGCTGAGGGTAATTTTTATTTTCTTACTATTTTGCTACATGTTGCGTAAGTGTATGATAATAAAAAGTTTTGAGTTAGCGCGCGCTTAGGGAAATCGGAATTACTTGAGGTGTGTGACCGTTTATTAACAAAAACAAACGTCAAACGTAATGTAGGAGAAATTTAAATGAAAGGAGAGGAAAGAGAGAGAATGTGTGTGTGTGCGTGAGTGAGTGAGTGAATGAATGTACTTTGAATATCGTAATACTTCTTAGAGTATCTCTTCGCAATAATGCAAATCCACACTTTCCATTTTTCGGCTTTTCGTTGTGTTTTTCAACAAAATCCGTGACGTTTAATTTGCTTGTGTAAGTTTAAAAAATTGATTTCTGAGAAAAGAGGAAACTGCAAACAAAAGATTGTTTCTTTTGTTCACGATCGATTCTATTTGACGTCTTTACACTGATGTAAAGTTGTACATCTTCATCAATTGTACCTTTAAAAATACTATTTGAATATTTATTAATACTTTGAGTGCAGGGGCATTCAATGGAATCGAGACACGTTTATTCGGATCGCTAGAACAATAGTTTTTCATTGTTTTAGTTGCAAAATTCAAGTATAAGAACATAATTCCACGCTTTATTTACACAGGCAATAAATATCGAAAGCTAAGATTTATATCGACGTTGCAATAATGTCTGTCCTTTCTTAGGTCGTAATAGTTGTAACAGGGTGGGGGGGGAAAAACACAAGACTCTAGTAACTAGGGATTGAAGAGAAATGTCTCTGAAACGGGACGAGAAAAATTTGGAACAGGTGGATAGAAAGCAAGAGTAACGGTTAAAATTCTAACCGACGTCGACCCGTCCTTGAAATCCTTTGTGCGAGTTTCTGAAAAGGGTTTTTTTTTTGATAACAGGATTTACGAAGAAAGAAGAACGCGATGTGTAATGTTTTTGTTTTTTCGTTGTTCAACAACACGCGCTACGCATGCGCGATCGTCATATCAAACTCGCATCACTTTTGATCTGTATTATGGACAAAGTAAATAAACTTATAATTTATATATATATATATATGTAATAACAAAATAACGCTACAGATAAATAATGATAGTAATAAGGCCTTATATATACATATATATATATACATGTATAAAGTAGCGTGGAGAATACGATTGATTTAACTTTGCATGTTCAATCAACAATGTTTTCTTGCGTCAAGTTGTAATTTTTAAATTCTCGTTATTTTGTCTCTATAAATTTCTTCTTCTTTTCTTTGTTGCGAGCGGCCATTTCGAGCCAGAGAGACTGAGCAAATTCATTCGACGTGATATTTGACGTAATAGTTTTATATTATCTAGTGTCTTTTCGTTTTGTTCTTTTTTTTTTTTTTTTTTTTTTTTAAAAAAAAAAAGTTTTTTTTTTTTACGAGTATATCTCACGTCGGTGCACTCGTGCCACTTTTTCTTCCTCTCGTCAATTCGTTTTTT